AAAGATTATAAATATTTAATTGACTTAAAAATTAACTTTCTACTTGAATAAAACAATTAATTTAATACTTAATTTTTCAAAACATTAATTAAAGCTATAACTCTAAGTTTTATAGAGCCCGAACCAATACCTACTACCCTATTAAAATAAATGATAATCATTTAATATTATTATTATTTTACTACTTTATTAGATTTGGCTGAGCATCATCTAGTATATATTATTATTTAGTGTTATTATGCGTTAGTAATATTTTTGATATGCTTTGTTTTTCAATTTGAAGATGGGATTGGTGGGAGAGAAACTAGACATAGACTTTGTGATATCAACTGGGGACAACTTTTATGACGATGGTTTAACTGGAGTTGACGATCCAGCCTTTCAACAATCTTTCACCAATATCTATACATCTCCGAGCCTTCAAAAGCAATGGTACAATGGTAAATATTAATATTACTCCCCCCATAATTTTCTCTTCCTTTTTGAATTACTATAATTCAAACAAATATACGATTATTTTTTGAAAATCTAAAAAAAAATTAAGTTCTCTTTTAACAAAAAGTATTTTACAAAGCGAATTTTACATTAAAAGTATAATCTACTCTATGGATTAAAACTTGAATATCTTTCTTCTTCAATATTCCTTGTTTCAACTATGCTATGGCAGTTTTGGGCAACCATGACTACAGAGGTGATGTGAAAGCACAGCTAAGTCCCATCCTCAGAGAAAAAGACAGTAGATGGTTCTGCTTGAGATCATTTATTCTCGAAGCAGGTAATGAGAAAGGAAATGACAAATTTTGCCAGTATCTCAAATTGGGAATATAATTGTTGTTTTAATTTTCTCCTATCATTGGATTTTTGTTTTTTTGGCTTCTGGTTGCAGGATTTGTGGATTTCTTCTTCGTTGACACGACTCCATTTGTAGACAAGTACTTCACGCATCCAGGAGACGACACTTACGATTGGAAAGGCATTTATCCTAGACAGGAATATCTTTCAACTCTCCTTACGGTAACTATTGAAATTAAGTCGTCAAAAGGGATGAAAGAAAATAACCTCTCTCGATTTTATATATAATTTCCTGTACTTCTTGTCTTTGCGATAGGATGTGGACACAGCTTTGAAGGAGTCCGATGCAACATGGAAGATAGTAGTCGGCCACCATACTATCTTGAGCGCTGGACACCATGGTGTCACTACAGAGCTACTGAACCAGCTTCTTCCAATCCTTCGAGTAATCCAAGCATAATTCACATGCATAGTGTTCCATTCCTTTTTTTCACATTTCCTTTGCTTCAACAGTTTCTGCAAATTTTCCAGGAAAATAAAGTGGATATGTACATTAACGGGCATGATCACTGCTTGGAACATATCATCGACAGCAAGAGGTATAAATCCAATCCAATGATAAACTTAGCCTGCCATATTTCATTGTAAAATATGTACAAAACTATTACTGAAATTCTAATTTGTATCAACAAAATGCAGTGGAATTCATTTTTTAACGAGTGGAGGAGGCTCAAAGGCATGGAGGGGTGATGTGAGCTCGTGGAATCCAGAGGAAATGAAGCTGTACTATGACGGGCAAGGATTTATGTCAATGCAAATGACTCAAGGACACACCTGCTTCATATACTACGATGTTTTTGGTAATGTCTTGCACAAATGGAACATCACCAAAGACCTCGTTTAGTCACAGAGGTAATAATACTTCTGGAAGATGAACTTAAACATAAGCAAGCCAAAGGGACATGAATTGCAACGAATAGCTGAAGATAAAGATGAAGTATTAATTATAAGCTCAGTGTGCTGAACACTATAGTATTATATGGCAAAATATTTTAGTACCTATCTCCAAATATAACTAAAAGTCTCCTTTGAAGTAAGTAGTAAAATAAAGTTACTGAATCTAAGAAGCATAAGTGCCCTTCACTCCTACTGACATGAGGTACCACGGGTTTGTTTCTTGGCTGGTAGGTTCACCCAAGTATACTGCCACCCGCCCCTTTTTTTTTTATTTCTTTCTTCCTTTCTTTTACACGCTTTTCTGTCAGTGGAGGTGTTGTGCTGCTCAGATTGCATAAACACAATTATTAGATTGAAGTGAAGTATTGAACCGTACCTTTAAGCCAAACAGTTTGATCTCAAGTTTTAAGTGCTTGAGTGAAGTAGTAAAAACTTCGAGCTTTACCACCGTCGTGAACTCCATCAAAAAGCAATTCGATGACCGCGTACCTTATTTAAGGGGTGGAATGTTCATTCGGTTTAGAGATCAAATTCCTAGTTACTAACAATTAATTCAAACTAACCATTACTCTTCTTAAAAAAAAAAAAAAAAAAATTAAAGTGAATTATTGATATTGAATGTCTTATATTTATTTAATAGTTATTAATTTATAATTTAATATAATTTTAATTGTAAAATAAGATTTTTCCGTGTTCAATGATTATATACTTAATATCATTACTTCATCTCATCTAATAAGAATTTAATTGAATTAATATTTATTAATTTAAAAATCTTAATTTTACTCCAATATAATTTTGACAGTAAAATAAAATATTTTTTGTGCCAAATGATTGTATATTAATATTATTATTTCATCTCAACTAATAAAAATTTAACTAAATTAATATCTACTAACTTAAAAACCTTAATTTAAAATCAAAATTAAAAATTCAAATATTTATATTATTAAACAACTAACTCTCTAACATAACCCATCTTCTATGGATGAGTAACCAACCAAAAATTATCTTACAATCAACTAACTCTAATATATAAAAAAAAATTCATTACTTCATCTAATAAAATGGTTTTTTGAATCAAAACTTGCCACGATTTATTTAATAATTTAAGATCTCATATGCTATCATATGTTAATTTGGGATAAATCTAGGGGCTTAAGAGTGTTTTGCCCAAAAAGTTTTAATAGTAGAAAAGTGAGTTTCGTGACAACCTTGAGAAAAAATAAAGTTTGAGGACTAATTATAGATTAATCAAAAAAAAACCAAGAAATGCAAAAGTATCTTTAGAATCAGAACTCTCAACAATAATATCTTAGAGGCATAAACTGTTGCTTCAAAAAGTCATTCATATAACATTGTGGAACACAACGTGATTAGTTTGTTGGGTTCATTTTGGTAATTAAGAACAAGAAATTTCTTGTCTTAATGGCATAAACTGTTGATTCAGGAAGTCATTCATATAACATCCCACATACCAGAGGGTGAACCTTAAGAAGTCATCCATATAACATCCCAGCCTTAATATCTTTGGCCAGAACAAGTAGGGCAACTTGAAACCTTCAGGATTACTCATCTCTAGTTTGTTCTGATGCAAAATCCCCAAGCAAATACCTGTTAATGGAAATTACCATCAATACCAACACTGCAGAATAAGTTTAGATTTCTTGCATTACCAATAATCATGTATTACTGTTAAGATTCAACTATATATCAGGCTTTTTTTATTTTTTTTAAAAATCTCATGTCTTAGTCTAAATGAAATTGCTTCTTCTAGCTAAGCTTTTATCAGATTCTTGCACGCTTACTAAAGGTTTCCTAGGGATTTGGTAAGGTTTGAACCAGAGAGCTGCTGTTAGACAATTTTTTTGTTACATACATATAATAAATGTTAATGGCGAAAATAACAGATAAAAAACAACCACAGCAACCTCATCATGAAAAACCCAATTTGACACAGTTCTGCAATATGAACTCCTGAGTACCTATTATCCCTTTCCCCTACATCGCCCTAAGATTTACAAACACATTCTCAGACCCCCAAGCATAGTGCTGTTCTTTTGTAATATTAAAACTTCTACTAAGAATTGGATATATTTTGTTTCACAAATTGTTAGATCTTTTTGTCATAGAGCAAATACGTACCTTTGCTATAGCTATAGGATTTTAAGGCCAAATTACAATGGAATCATTCAAGAAAGACCTGAATCCTGTCACCCATTGTATCATTAAAATCCAGCAACTGCTTGCCTCCTTCATCAGTAGCATCTTCCAACAGTTCCTTCAGGTTTACACCTCCCAAAGCTGTAAAGAAAGCCATCAAATGCCTTTGGTTATTTTCTCAAGGACTAATACGAAAGAGGTAACCATTTACAAAAATAAAAAACATCTTAAAGTGATAGACATAGTAAAGAAAGGCTGCAAAACACCAGCCATTGGATGGAGGTCTCTCATAATCCAGTGGTCAGTGTTTTGCAGTCCGGACTGCAAAACACTTTTTTGCATAATAAATGTGCTTGTAAGA